AAAACAGAAGTTTCTACTCTAGTCTACCTAAAAAAAAAAAAAAAACTGATCAATAACAGACGTACACTTTACTATTTTGCCCGACAATTAGTTTAGTCTATGAAATTCCTCAGAATAAGCTCAAACAAGAGCCGAACACAACCTTATGATGTTTTCCATTTTTTTCTTCCAAATGAAATACATGTATGATATCTTGTGTTTAACTCGCAGCTCAGTAAGCAATTCACTCAATCCACATCTAATACTGAAATTCAAATAGAAATTTTCTGCTCTAACATTCTTCACCAAAAACGTTACAGTTTTATTACTGGAATTGGTGTGAATGAAACGTAATTCGACTACATCAGTTTGGTTGGCATGACGAATCCAAATCTAACTATCTCAGAGTACAGCGAGCATACGAAGACTTTCTAAATTCATTTTCCGCTGATCTCATGAATCATACCGGAGAAATATGAGAAGGAAAAAGAAATGTCACCTCTGTATAGGTGGAATGAGCGACGCAGATAGCGGAGGCGAGCGACGGTGATTATCGTAGGAGAGTTTGCCGTTAGCCTGTGCTCATCCGTTCGGTGGATCGAGCGAGGTGGAGGAGAAAGCAACGGAATGTTCCTCAACGAAAAGATCGATGAAATGATTTTGGTTGCTTGTAGAGTGACGATTTTAACCTTGTAATGTGCTAGAAATTAAGAGGGGTGGTGAAGGTATTTCTGGAAATTGGAATAAGCGAACAATTAAGCTTGCCTCCTCCCACCTTTTTTTTTTACTTTAATCTGTTTTTAAGTTTATCTTTCTAATCTCTTTAATTAAAAAAAAAAGCCTATTTTTTTATCACTTTCATTTTTCAAAAATCTTTTAATGAATGAATAAGAAATGTACCTTTTTAAAAAAGTCTTGAATAGAATTGATAACTTTTTCACATTTTTTATTTTATATTATTTGCTTATTATATAACTTAAATTTAAAAATTTTAAATTACTTAATTTATTAACAAAATTATATTGTTTATTATTTTTAATTAAAGTTATAAATTAGAATAGGAGAAAATTAATTTATTTCACTATAGGTTGACCAAATCATTGATAATTAAAATATTTATAAATCATTATCTACTTTAATTTATTTACAAATTGAATTTCAGTAAACAATATAAATAAACAAATTCATTTATTTATTAAAGCAGCCTTTGTAAAATTCATTTTCTTAAGCATTCATTTAATATTGAAGGGAAAAAAAAGCATTTATTATATTTTTTTAATAAAAGTTTTATGTTTTTAAGTTGGATTGAAATTTTAATATCTCATTTAGGTACTAAAATTATTAAATTATTATTGATAAATAAATATAAAAAAATTTCTTTAAAATATTTTAATAATTACAGTATTTGAATGGATTTGGAAAATAATTTTTTGATTTTATAAATAGTTTTGGTGCCAAATGCATTTCCCTCCTCTAGCCGCTATTTTTGTTCTTTCAAATCTCTCTACCTCCATTTTTCGCAACCCAAGCAAAAAAGCGCAAGCGAGCAGCAATCGGAAAGATAAGGAAATACCGAAAGTGAAGACCATCGTTGATCAAGAGAGATAGTCGGCGACAACAATTTCGCCTAAACCGTTTTTCAATCTGTTACGAATTAAGATCTTATGCCAATCGTCAAGGACCTCCAATCCATTTTCGTCTGTAGCCATGTCTTCCACGAGCTCTGGTCAGTACATTATTTAGGTATATAAATGTATTTGTACATTCGCGCAAGGAATGTGTTTGAATTTGATGTATCTGGTGTTTGAAACCCTAGCATACAGCAGTGGTTCGAGTACGTTTGAGCTCTACAAACAAAAGTGTGTGGCGAGTAATAGCGGTCGTCTTTATTTTCAGTCGGCGGCGGATTAATGCTGTTCGGTTCAGAAGCCGCTGGATCTGGAAGAAAATGGTGATGTCTTGCGTGGCGAAGTGAAGAGATTAGAGGTGAAAGTCTCAGGGCTGATCTAGGTGGTGGAACGCCAAGCAGAGGAGCTCGTGGTATTAATCGATTCTCTTGTATGGAGTTGTGAAAAGATAGAATCCTAGAAAAAGAATTCGGTAGGATAAATATTAATTCTATTATGATTGCAAAATTTCTTTGCTGAGATTAAAATGTTAGGCCTGAATTTTGTTTAAGATAACGGTGTTCAGTTAGGTGAGATAAGCATTAAAATTTGGATTGTGTTTGCAAGAAGCAGAACAAGAAGGAACTGGCATTGAGAGAAAAGCCATCCATTCAGCAGAAGCTTGATTCAAAATTTGAGGTGATTGTCATGCGATTGTGTATCCCAGGGTTCTAGGTTATTCCCCTTGTTATTCCTTGGAATCTGTATTTTTTTTTTTTTCAATTGACAGAAATTTGAATTAATTGTTAGTTAATTGTGATCTAGGAACTTAACAAATTAAAATTGGAGTGCTCAAGGCTAGAACGAAGGAACATGGCTTTGGCAAAGGAGCTTACAGTGCTCAAACTGTGTTTGCATGAGTTTTTTCATTACCTGGCCAAGGTTTTGATTATGATAGTGTGTTGCTTACCGGTTCATTTTTTTATTATAGGGTGTCTGATTTGGATCTGGAGCAACACTAGACTGTAAAGCTTGCCTCACTAGGTAATGAAGCCAACGCCTAAGATGCAATAGATGATCTTAGTCGGTCTTTGGCTAGTCATAAGATGTAAGTGCTTAAAGTGTCCTATTCTTCAGTTGCATGCATTTTCAAGCACTTGTTATTGTGTAAGCCATCTAATTTTTACTGAATCTTGGAGGCTTAGCCCAATTATTTACCGGCTAAAATTTCTGGATGTGTTTTTATGGATTTGAGAGTGTGATGGTGCTTATCTTATGAATGATACATATGAATTGTAGTTAATAAGTATATGGAAATCAAGTTTATTCATGTCTTATTGGTAGAAGCATTACATAATTTCATTTCTATAATACAAGACTATTTATTTAGTTGAATTATTTTAGTTGCCTTTTCCTCTTTTTGTTAGTTTGTTTGAACATTATCAATGTTTGAACATTATCAACGTTTGCACTTAATCTTTACTGAGGCATCTCAAGCTTAGACTTCACTTGGATTTCATTGTTCAATTTGGATAGGAACTATAAAGAATTGATGGCTAAGTGCAACCTTCTTGGTAGAGGTGAAGCTCATTTGCAGAAGAAACTTGAGAAGGCTAAAGGGAAGATAAACAAATTGAAGGTACATCTGCTATTATGGGGCACTGTGGAGTTTCATTTAATATATGTTATTAATTTGTCTTAGTATATGTTATGTTATATATGTGGCCTCTATCAGATGAGAATCCAAGAGTTGGAAACAGCAATTGAAGAGAAAAATAATGAAGTCTTAAGGGCAATAAAAGCTTCAAAGGAAGGGAGTCCTACAAGTGTCATCTTGAATGTAGATGACCATTCTAATAATGCAATGACAAAAAATTCTTTGGCAGAAGTTCAAATGGAACAATCATTTGTACTTGTAAATGGGAATAACGTTGATTTAAGTAAAATATCACCAATCCACAAAACAGAAGACATCAGTTCTGTTAGTCATATTGGTTCAAATCACCCTAGAGGTGCAAAAGCCATGGCTCTTGGGATAGAGAGAAGAGATTTCATAATCATAGATGCCAGTGCTTGGACATCTTCTGTGTCTGTGCATAGACTTTCAAGTCTTGATTTGCAACATCAAAATCAAGAGAATGTGATTAAAGAGTCTGCTCCATCAATGTCAGAGGCAGATTCTGATATCAATGGAGAAGAAACATTGTTGACAGGCCAGTTAATGTAGTTGGGCTTTCATAACTGAACAAGGTACTATATTCTTCCAATGTGAGTTCACTTAGAGTTCTACTGTTACTTTTCATATGGTTCCTTTGCTTAAGTAAATTGCTATTAGAGTGGTTCCCATTTCATTACTTTTGGGACCACTAGAAAATTAAGGGAATATATGTTTCTCTGGAGTCTGGTGGATTGCTAAGTCCTGATGGAACAAAGTGGCATTTGGGGAAATGGTGCGAGCGTGGCAAGATGACAGGGACAGGGGCAACTGCACATGGTTCAAGTTCAACTGCAAATAGTGGAGATTTGATTGCTGTTGGCGCTGATGGGAGAGGTGGTAGAATAAAGTTATGCAGTCTATGAATCAACCTTCATTGGTGAGTTTGTAAACTTATTCTTTTCGCCATTTAGTTGGAAGAAATACTTCCTTGAATTCTACTTCCATTCTATTGTTTTCAATCACAAGTTGGTTGAGTTTCTTGTTATTTTGCTGAAACACATTTTTACATTATCACACACATGGAATTTTTGAGCAGTATGGTGGCCTGATTCTTTTTCTATTTTTCATTTTTTAGTCATGCTCATGGATCAGGTACTTGCATATTGTGAATGGCACGTGGTGAGTTCCTCGTACGTCCATCATTGCAGGATGATAAGGAGAAATCAGGTCTCTGAAAGAGACTGAAAAATGGAGCCAAAACAAGTTTGCAATCTCAAGATGCTTGCAAATGGGACACTTCTTTGGGAAGACAAGTCAATGGTTGAATTTTTAAGGTGCATGCATTTCGGCCGAGAAAACGAGGTACATGCATTAGTGAGTTGCTAGCTTTGAATTATTTCGTCCAATACAACAAGAATAGCTGTTTATTTCCATGCTTGTTAATTTGAAATTAAGAGCATCTTCTTCTTTTCTTTTTTTTTTCTTTTTAAATTAAGAGCATCTAAGATATCAAACAAAGAAAAAGAAGATTTTGTTATCAATTACTTCCTGTCTTTTGCAGTTTAACCTCTGATTGCTCCAATTTTACCGTTCATTGCCTTAACAAATCTGATAGAATGGCAATGTGGTTTCTATTCTAACTCTAACTGGAGTACATTCCAATTCTATTAAATTGTTGTCTCAACGAGATTCTCTGGTAAGATTCCTTAAATCTTTTTGGATTAACTCATTTTCTACTTAAGGTGTTGGTTTAGTTGGAAAACAGGTCCATCACTCTTATCTTGAAAATCTTTATTCAAATTTCTTTTACTTTACATAAAGAGTGAGGGTGAGTTGAATGATTACTATACGGGTCGGGGAGAATAATAAATTATAAGTACGACGAAAATGTTGAACATATGTCGCCTACAAATGCACTATAGTCATGAGGAACGACAATAGACAAGTGGAAATGAACCAGTTAAAAGTTAAAAGTTTTCCTTCTACTTCAATAATGAGCATGACACAGGTTGTTCAGTTCCTCAAGTAATCCGAGTATAATTTCTGTTTATTATTCTTTTCATATTGCTTACCAGGTTTTACATGATTAGCATGTGTAATCTATAAATGAAATTGATTTGTATGCCATTGTTTTTACTTTTTGGTGTTTCGAAATCGCCTCACGGACATTTTCTGATTAGAAACATGAATTATAAGTAGAGAATCTAAGGTTTCCCATCCAGGAAATATTTTGTTGGTCTAGTCATTAGTGATAGCCTTAAATTGGTGGGAAGTTAGTAGTATGCCATTAGAAGCACACTGGCCAGGGAGCTACCTTTGAAAATTATGAAAAACGTGATGCTGATGGATTCAACCTTAAACTTAGGAGCCTCCGTGTCATACTCATACATGTCACGAGATTGTGAACACATGAAACCAGATAAATCCTAAAGCAATAAAAAAACACAGTTTTGTGTCATACATTGAGAAATACTAATAACACTAATAATTTACTTCTAGTACTCTTCCTATAATAAAGAGTGTTTGTTGTTTTTATAATAAAATTGCTTCAAATGAACTCTCAAGGATTTTTAAGGGGTGTTTGGTTTACTTTCTTGGAAAATTTTTTCTTTAAGATTTTGTAAGGGTGTTTTGATATTTATAAATTTCAAAACTATAATAAATAGTCTAGGAGTAGTGTTTTTAGGTTTTATTTTTCTACACACAATTTTCAACTTATAATTTTTTATTTTCACACTTTTTCAAGAAGAGAGAGTTTACAACTTTTTATTAATTTTTACTTAATCAAGTTGTTACCAAATATAAAAAAGTTAAGAAGTCAATAAAATTCTAATAAAATTTTATTTAAAAATTTGTTAACTTCTAGTATGATAATTTTTAATTTTTCTTGCAATATTTTTTTTTAATAAAGTTTGTCTCTAACCATGAGCTCTTAATTTGTTTGATAGGCATTTTTTGAGGGAAATTGCAGGTCCCAAAATCTATTATCTGGTGTTTAGTTACATTAATCTTTAAACCTTTTCACCCAAAAAAAGTCATTAAATATAATTGGCTAAATTCTGCCAAGTTCTTTCCTTTTGGTGCAAATGGGAAATTTCATACATGGATGAATTAAAACAACCACTCCGATCGTGGGAGAAGCAAGAAACACAAAAATGTAGAAACAGAATAAAAAATAACAAAAGGTTCTTTTATTGACATAGTGCTTGACAAGTGTACCAATTACTTCATTTGTTGTTTCATTGTAAACCATGATTACCGTCTGTGTTGCACATCAGTTAACATCGCAGGCAGCAGCTTTCAGCGCAATAGTTTCACCTGACAACTAGCAGCAGGCCCTAAAGATGACTAAGACATTTAACAGCTCCGCCGACCGAGCTAGATGCCAAGAATTTTTCCTCCTTGCTCAGAATTTTCTAGTGTTATGGTCTTAGTTGGTTTTTTCTTCTTTTTATTTTTCTATTTTTTTTGGGATGAGAGATTTTAGAAAGGGGTTCTATATTGAGTAATTGAAGAATTTCAAATTACACATAAGATCGCTGTTTAGTCTTTGCTCTCCATTCTGCTGAATTCACTGTAAATTCTTTAATTTAATCCCCTGGAGATGGGCACGCTTTGATCACGTTGTATTAAAAAATCAAGTTACTTTCCAAGATTACCTTCTTCTCAAAAGTGATTAAATTATATATTATCTCTTTTCGCCAACGAGAGAAATGTTATTTTAAATGTTAAGAAAGGAAGTGTTTATGAACAAAATTTTAAAAAGTTCTCTTATAATCTTTTTATAGGCTATGTACTACACTATAGTTAAAATGCCAACTTGGTGGCAGTCAATGCATGCGTCCTTTGGCCCAAGGTGGCAATTGGTTTAAAGTTGGTTAGATACCCACTTTGGTCCCTCTACTAGTGAAAAAAAGCTTCTACGTAGTTCTGTACTGAAATTTTTTTTTTTTGATCCCTATTGTTTGAAATTTGATTCTTTTTTAATCTTTTTGTTAATTAAGTGACAGTATGACTTTTAATCTTTTTGTTAATTAAGTGACAGTATGGCATAATAATCCGTTAAGTATTTTTTTTTTTTTTAATGGTGACATGTGATTACACATTGCAAAATTGATGAATTGGCAATAAAATTTATTTTCATGTAATCAATAAGTTCTAAAATAATTAAAAGAAAAAATCTTCTTTCTCCCTTTGTCTTTTCATTTCCCATTTCTATCCTCATCTTTTTCCTAAGCCCAAATCCTCGATCCTCTCTACCTTTGCTTGAACCTAATCCCTTTCTCATCCATTGATTTCTTCTTTGCCAAACCTTCCTCCATTAAAGCCCTCAAATCTTCACACCAATCTTCATCTCAATTAAAGTTCAAATCTTCACTAATTTGCCCCCATTTTCGTCCCCCTTTTATCTTATCCTCTCCTTCCCTCGGTCTTCTTTTCTTTTCTTTTTTTTTTTCACCTTTGCCTTTTGGGTGGGTTCGTGACAATCCCAGACACCTAGGTTTGCGAGGTTCATTGCTTGGCTTCATCTTTTTTGATTCATTGTTCTTGGCTCGAGTATTGGATCTAAGAGTTTTTGTGTGTTGATTTTGGATTTTATAGTTAAGCAATCGTCGAAAATTGGTAAAGGGGAGGTGATATTGCTCAAGATTATGGGAAGAAATTTCATTTGAAATTGAAATGTGTCGAGGAATGAGGAGAAAAGAATTGTTGTGAAAAATTAATTTTGGAGAGGATGGAAAGAACAAAATTTTGTGTTGAAAATTGTTAAATTTTTATCTAATTTATGTTTGAAAAGTAAAAAAAATTAAATTAAAACTATTAAATTTGATTGAAAGAAA